ACCAAGGATACAGGACTCCAAAAGCAAAGCTGAAGAGGGTGGGCACAGAGAAAAGAGGGAAAAATCGAGGCTCTGTAGGGCTTCGGAGTCGTGGGGGAGGGGCAGTCCTGGTGGCCGAAAAACGGAACCAACCCCCATCCCAAATCCCCTACCCAACTCTGCCACTTCCCAAGCTGCCAGCACATCTGGTTTCCACAAATGCCACTCCCCATACAAGCCCCCTCCCACCCCCTCCACCCCACCCCTTGACCCAGTCCATCCCAACACTGGAGGGGAAATAACTTTTTTAAGGTTATCATATTTGCAATATCGCCCCAGCTCCAGCCCCCCAACGGAGACTGCTAGAAGGGCAGGTTGGCCATGCCGCCCGGCGCCGGGAGGTAGCCCATCTGGCTGTCCAGAGACACACTGCGCTGCCGCAGAGGGTGGGACACCATGAGGTTCTGCTGGGGTGGGGGGCCCATGAGGGAGCCCTGGGGGGACAGCATGTGTGGGGGCTGGCTGTAGACCTCACCCCCCACGCCCCGCTGCTTCATCAGCATGAAATTCTGCTGGGTCATGAGGCCTTGTGGAGGGGACATGACCCCCTGGTGCAGGCCATGGGGCACCATGCCCTGCTGTGGGGGCACACCTGTCCTGCCCAGCAAGGACATTTGTCCGGGGTGGCACATGGACATGTTGAGCCCCCGCTGGATGCCCTGCTGGCCCGGGAGGTTGGGGGGCCGTGAGGGAGTCTGCTCCGCCATCATGTTCTGCAGGTTCATGAGATGCAGGTTGGGGGGCTGGGCCTTGGGGGGCTGGTTCTCGCTCTTGGGGAAGTACTGGAGGGTGCTGCTCGGCTTCTCCGAGGGGATGATCCTCGATAAGTCGAACTCGGGGATCCCCGTCGGGGTGGGCCGGATCACCTCGCTCAGCTCGGGGTCGTTCAGCACTGATGCCACCCCAGGGAGCACGCCCGGAGGGTACGCGTCGCCCATGCGCCCAGCCATGCTTTTGCCCATCAGGTGCTGCTGGGGGGGCATGGGGCCTGGCGGCTGGCTGGGCAGGTCCTCTGGGGGCAGGGGCATGCCTGAAGGGTAGTGCTGCTGCAGGCCAGGGCCCCCGCCCCCGCCCCCACTAGGGGCCATGGCACCGTGGGGCTGCTGCAGCCGAGGAGGGAAGGGCATCATCTGGGAGGAGCTGGGCACAGGGCCGCAGGGGGCATTCAGGGATTCTGGGCCCCCTGGAGCCATCATCATCGAGTTTTGAGGGGGCCCTCCTGTCCCCTGTGCACTGGGGTGCAGTGGAATGTTGGAGCCCAGAGGGGTGGGGGAGGGCAACATGGTAGGTGGGGGCTCATGGGACAGGGGCTGCTGGCCTGGCAGGTTCATGCCCATAGGGCTCTGGGCAGCAGCTGAGTTCAGGTGCATCTGGTTGGGCTGGTTATTGCTGATCCCTGTGGGGAAAGAGAAATGGGGGTCAGGAAGCATGTGCACCCAGCTGGGGGAGGGTGCTGAACTCAGTCTTTCCCCACTCCCCAGCCAGGCTGGCGCCAGGGGTGAGAGTTTTCACCATTGGCCTGCCCTAGTTGCGAGGGAGGGGACTCGAGGTGTTTAGGTTAGAAGCCAAGAGACCCAGGCTCTAGCCCAGTTGGCCATGGACACGTCGTTAGATGTTGGAAAGACCACTCTAATCTCCGGGCTTGGTCTCACTGAGACGGTGACTGGGAACTGTGTCCCAGGACATCATATCCCCACTCCCAGAGCCCTTTGGAAGCACAGAAAAGCCAGCATGACCACAGGGATGACTGCTGGCCATGGCCACTCTTCCCACTCCCAGTGCCCGCATCAGCTCTTCTCCCTGTGGCCCCCTTCCTGTCCTCGCACCTGGCCCAGAGCCCTGCGGTGGTGGTGGTGGTGGGGGTAGCAGGGGCCGGTCGGGCAGCAGCTCGTCGTCTGAGGTGGCGATGGTCTTGATGGCATTGTGGTAGAGCGGGGTGGAGCTGGGCATGGCGTACTTGGACATCTGGGACATCATCAGTGACAGGGGGTTCTGGGAAGGCGTGGGGTCTGGGGAGGAAGTGAATGGCAGGCTGGGATTCATGAGGCCGCTGGGAGGGTTGGCGGGAGGCGCTGAGGAGCTGCTCCGGGGGCCGCTAGGCGGGAGGGCACCTACAGAAGCAGGGAGACAGAAAGAGCAGGGGGTGACTGGGAAGGGGAAGATGAACTTGGCTGCTCACCTTGGGGGTTTAGGAAAAGGTCGGTTCTGAAATCTCTACCTGACTCCTCCAGGCACAGATGTCCCACTCAACAAAGGCCCCCCAGGGTCACTACAGCCCACCTGTCTTCAACTAATTCCTGTAGCCTCAGGGCCCCAGGCAGCGGGGAGATGCCAAGTGCGACTGCCCCTCAAGCAGAGACATCCACTGCTGCGTCCGGCACAGAAGCCTGAACTCACTCCCCTGTCCCAGCCTGAACGCACCCACCTGGGAGGCTCCCAGGGCCAGAGTCCAGGGCTCGCTTGCCCGGCTCAGTTGACTCACCCTGTTCCATGTTGCTCAGGGTGGTGGAAGAGTTCATGTTGAGAGGCGGCTGCTTGTTCTGGGGGACACCAGGGCTGGGCATGGCTGTCTTGGGCGATGCGACCCAGCCTGGAGAAGGCACCGCCATGGAGGGAGACTTGAGCCTGCTGGGCGAGCCGGTGGGCGAACGGACACTGAGGGAGGAGCTGAGGACCTGGGGCGACTTGAGAGGTCCCGGCGGGTTGGCCGAAGGCAAGGGCACCATCTGTGAGGGAGTCTGGGGTGACTTGAGGTTGGCTGAGGGCGAGGTAACCAGGGGTGAGTGTACCTGGCTAAGGGTGGGTGACTTCAGGTGCCCCATGCCCGGCGAGCCCATCTGATTAATACTGATAGTGAGGTCTGAAGGCCGTCTGCCCAGACCCCGGTTTGGGGCTGAATGCACAGACCCAGAAGGATTGGACGCAGGGGGCAGGGGCATGTGGCTGAGCCGGGTGGTACCCACATTGCCCATGGGCATTGAGCTCTGGTCAGGGCTGAACATGTCTTGAGTATTGCCCATGTCCTGGGGGATGGCTTGATAGGGTCCCTGGCCCCCAGAGAATCCCTGCTGGCCCTGGCTGGGAAACTGCGAGGGCATCAGCATCTTCTGTGGGCCGCCCATCATGCCACTGCTGTTCTGGGCCCGCACCCGGGCCATCTCCTCAGGACTGAGGCCCTGCGGCCCCATCATGTCCCCAGGGCCCCGCATCTTCTGTGACATCAGCATCTGCTGCTGTGGGGTCATCTGCACATTCAGGTTCATGTTCATGTTCATGTTCACATTCATGTTCATGTTGAGGTTGCCTGGCCCCATGGGTGGGTCCACCTCCCTCAGCCCAGACTGCCCCATGGGGGGACTCAGGAGGCCCCGACCTCCACCAAACTCCATGCCCATGGGAGTGCCTGCCAGGCCCTCGCCGCTGGCCATCTGCCCGGGGAACATGGCTGGATCCATCTGCCGGTGTGCCTGCATCATCCGCTCCATCTCCATGCCCTGCCCCATGCTGCTGCCGGCCATGCCCAGGGGGCGCTGCATGCCCATCGACCGCTTCTCCAGCAGCTGGTGCCGCAGCAGCTCCTCGCGAACCCGAGGAGTCATAAATCGCTCAGCTTCACCCTGCCCGCCTGGGTAGGGCACTGCATTCTGGGCAAAATTGCCAGGCCCCCCCATCGGGGGCAAGTCTTCGGTCCAGCCCATACCTGGCCTCACAGGCCTCTGCATGGCATTCATGGGCACCTCCATGGGCATACCCTGCATGCCTCCAAACCCAGGCATCCGTTGCATCTGGTTGCCTGGGAAGCGGGGGCCGGGGAAGGGAGGTCCGCCCCGGAGCTGCATGGGATCTTGGACATCCATGGGCCCCCGCAGCTGAGCGCCCATCCCGGGGGGCCACTGATCCCCAGGCTTGCTGTGGTAGGGCGGCGGTGGGCCCCGCACCATCATGCCCCCCATGCCCATCATGTCCTGCAGTGGGCGGCCCCCGTGCAGCCCAATCTGCTCCTCCTTCCGCCGTTTCTCCTCGTAATACTCTTCCTGCAGCTTGCGCCAGGCCACCTGCTCAGGCGTCAGGCTGTCCTGGCCCAGCCTCGGCATCATCATGTTCATCTGCTGCCCTATGTCCCCACCTGGGGGGTGCCCAGGCACTTCGTGCTCCAGCGGTGGGCCCCCGAGGCTCTGTGTCTGCGAAATCATGGATTGCAAGGGCTCCTCGTACTTTTTCAGCCCGCTGGGCGGGGCCGTGGGTGGCTGCTGAGGGGCAGGAGGGGCTTGTGCTGGTGGTCCCCCCTCGCCAGCTCCTCCTGGAGGCCCCTTGAGGAAGGGCTCTGTCTCCCCACTGCGGAGCAGCAGCCGCTCAATGTCTCGAAGCGTCTGGAGGGACCGCTCCCGATGCTCCAGCTGCTCCTTGGACAGGCCCTCAGAGCCCACCAGGCTCCGCTGCCCGTTTCCGGTGGGGGCCTCCCCCAGCAGGGCAGGGCCCGGGGCACTGCTGGGGTCTCCTCCAGGAGGCAGTGGGTTGCTGGCGGTGGAAGCTGTAGGGGTGTTAGGGTGGGTACCCCCAGTCCCACCGCCCGTGCTGGCAGCTCCCACCGAGTTGGGTGTCAGGTCCTGACCAGTGTCTTCGGGTGGCCCCTCAGAAGGCAGAGCTGGGGGGGCGCTACCCGGGGCTGGGGGTGGCGGCGGCGGCAGTGGAGGAGGCTGGGACTGCGGGGTGCCTGCTGATGGCGTGCTCAGGGGTAGCGGTTCTGGGGTAGGTGGCACTTTGGGGGCCTGCAAGAGGGCAAAGGCAGAGCATGAGACAGGTAAGGGAATGCACCAGCAATCTGCTGTTCATAGGGCATCTCGCCTGGGCCAGGCACCACACTTACCTGGTCCAGCTTGGCCCGGGGCACGTTCTGCTGGTGGTAGGCGAGGATGGAGTCCGCCCGGCCCTGCAGCACTGCCTCCGCAGCCCTGCACAGGAGGGTCAGGCACAAACAGCTCAGAGAGGTGGGCAGGAGGGAGCCCCCAGCCTCACCCAGCCCAATCCCAGCCAACCCTGGCCCCGTGCAGGCACTCATTCAGGACCCCAGGCTGAGGCACTTACGTGTTGGCCAGGTGGGTAGTGAAGACGTACACAAACTGTGACGGAGGCTTTCCAGGGACACCCCCACCTCCGCCCCCGGGGGCATCGGGCCGAAGGCCTGGTGGGGGCCCATGCGGGGGCCCAGGTGTGCTGCTCTCATTGAGGGGCAGTTGGGCGGCTTGGCCAGGACCCAGCTGTGGGGCCGCCATGGCTGGGTCTGCTACATTACAATCTGCCAGAGAGAAGAGAGTAAAACAGGTCCAGATTTAGAGGAGACCTGGTGGGGACCCTCCACCACCCCATCCCAGAGATGCCCAGAAGCAGTGGGGCTCACTGCTCTACAGCTTGTGCCCACAGGGTCATTTGGGCTCACAATCTGGAACTTTCATTAGTCTGGTTTCCACACTTACTTGCCTTAGACCAGTCTTTGACAAGGATGGAAACTGCATGGACCATATAGAGAGGAGGGAGAGGGAAAATGTGACCGTTATGGACAGGCGCCCATGTGCCTGGCATTCTGACAGATGCTTATGGATGTGATTCCCATCTAATCATCACATCCCTAGGAGGAAGGCGTCGTACACTCCACTTGACAGAGGAGGAAACAGTCCTGGAAGGATGATGTTACTCACCCAAGGTGACACAGCCAGGCAGTACAGAGCCAGGGTCTGCATCAGAAAGGGGCTGCAGAGCCCTGTGCTCAGCCCCACTCTGACCCCTCGCCATGGTCTGTGCGTGTGTGAGCACATTGGCCAGGTGAGGGGAGAAGGCAAAGAGCTTGCAAGACTGGTGATTCAAACAATGAATGGGTTCTTTCTAAAGCTACTACTAACTGCTTTGCAATCTTATGAACGTGACACTTCCTCCCTCAAAGCCTCAGCTCCTTCATCTGTGAAATGGAAATGCTAACTTCTGCCCTGCAGGGAAGGGTGGGCAGGTTGAAGAAATCTATTTTTACAGCAAGTTCAGAATGATGTCACAAACTAAAAAATTGTTTGGGAAACAGTTACAAAAGCCTGATGCACTGGGTTCACTCCTGGGGTAGACTGGCTGCCCTCAGCATCAAGGGAAGTTTTATTCCAGGGTCACAAACTTGACTTTTAAGTCCTAGCCTAGAAAAGACCTACGACTGGTCATTAATGGGTCTAGGTGAATGAGTGGACCCTTTGCCAGGAGTCAAGTGCTGGCCTGCAGACCATAAGTGATGGCACCCTCAGTTCATATGAAGCGAACTGCCCAGAGTTATCTCCCTTGAGCCAGACAGCAGCTATGTCCCCACAAGCCCAGAGTCAGGCCTGGATACAACTTCTCTGACACTCTTACCTCTTAACAGCCCTGTCTCTCCAATTTCACACAGAATAACTGAACCAACAGTTGGGGGGGGGGTACTTGAGAGTCGACCTCAATGTGTGAGGGCCACCCCAAGAAAGAGGAAGGTGCGTATTCAGTACATAGACCTAGGACTCCTGCATACAAGTTATGGGGGGAGAGGCAGGCTTTACTTCAATAAGGAACTTTCTAGTACAATATTAAGAATAATAAAAGCTAACACTGTTTTAAGTGTGTTATATGAATCAACTCATTGACTCCTCACACCAACCCCAAGGGGGAAACTTTATTTTTATAGATGAGGAAACTGAGGCTCTTTCCCAAATTTATGCAAATAGTAAGTGGAAGACCAGGCCATAAACTCAGGGGATCTGATTGCAATTAACCTCTACATTATCCTGCCCCACCCTTAAGAACTCTTTGAGAATCTAATGGCAGTATAACTAAGATGGTAATAGTGATCGCCTTGGTATTAGTTACAGGATGTTAGCAATTTCTTCTTTGTATTTCCCCATGTCTTCATGTTTCTACAATGGTCTAATGTTTTAAAAGTGAATTGGAGAGGGTCTGTCCTGGGAAGCAGTGACTGGCCTCATCAGTGACTGAAGGGTTGGGCCAGGGGCTTGTAGACCACCAGTCAGTCTCCTGGGCTGGCGGGGGTGCTGATGGCTGGGACCAGATGACCTTTAAATTCCCAGCCAGCTGCAGAGGCTTCGGTATTTGATCCCACACATCACCTCCATGGGTACCGTCTGTTCCTTCCACAAACATCGGCTGAGTCTGTTTCCTCATCTGCATCATCATAACACCCACCTTACAGGGCTGTTGTAAGGATTCAATAAAACAGAGTAGCAAAGTACCCAGCATATTTTTTTTCTTCCTCCTTTCTACTGTCTAGCCTTCGAGAAGTTCACAATTTAACATTCTCTCACTAGTTTCTTATATATTAAATTGTTTCTCCCCACACACAGATGTAAACTTGGAGGGAAAGCATTAGATAAATGTGCACGGGTTTCCCAAGGGCAAGAGTATGTCTGGTTCTCCCCCATCACTTGTGCAAGGCCCAAATACATGCTGATTAATACAAGAATGAAAGGAGGGGGTATCCACCTGTGCCCACTCCTCATCCCGCCAATGCAGTCTGGGTACTCACCAGGAGTCAATCAGAGGTTAGGGAAGGGCGCCAGAGACATAGCCAATGTCTGCTCACACCCAGGCTTAGCAGGACTGTGCAGCAGAGCCAACTGTCCAGCTCCCAGTGATGCTGGACCCTCACCGCCCTCCCTGTATTGACCAGTAGGTGGCAGCACAGGCCAGGAATTCATAGGAGGTGGTGTAGATGGTGTACCCAGGAGAGGCCACCTGAGGTTCACCCTACCCCACCTTGGTCCCTAGGGAGAGGGGGCCACTGAGCACCTAGAAGGCAGGGGCTGAGCTATCACAGTGCAGGGGGCTACTGAGTCAGAGAAGTGATACGGGAGAGGAGTTAGCCTGGGCTCCTGACCCTTTGCTCCTTCTTCCCAGGCTCCTCTAAAGCCCTAGGTGAAGAGAGGGAGCCTGCCTCAGGGCAGCTACCCCCTAGGGGCACCACGGGCCACAGCATCCTAGCAACAACGGGCACTCACTGTGGGTGGCCCCAATGGGCTTGTCGTCCTCGTCGCTGTCCGGTCCTGAGCACCATTCGTCCCCACTGTATGGCTGCTTCCGCTCCAGTACACAGCGCCGCTTACTCCGGGGTGCCACCTCTGCCCGGGCAGGCAGGGGTCAGAGTGAGTACCCAGAGGCCTTGTCCACCCACACCCAGGGTCCTTCCCAGGCCCATTCTCCCAGATGTCCCACCCCAGAGGGCACTGCCCAGGCCACAGTGGGCACTTTGCCAGCACTTGGCCCCCACCACAACAGCATTTGTTTCTGATTTCTCTCCACAGCCCTGCTGCCTGTCTCCCCTCCCCCACCAAGCACCAAGCACAGCATAATCCCCAACCACAACTGGTTCTAATTAGGGCTGGGGGGGAGGGGGAAGCTGCTGCTACTCTTCCAGGCCCCAGTGCTTGTTCCACGGCTCCCACCAGCCAGGATACCAGGAGGTTCCCGGGAGGTGTATGGGTCTGCATCTCGCCCCAGAGCACCTCCCTCTCCTCCCCCATGGGAAAGCAAGAGAGGAATGAGACTGACAGGAAGCCCCATCATTCTGTGTGGCCCCTCCGTGGGTGGCACCTAAGGATGAGATATGGCCACCCAATCCTGAGAATGACCAGACTGGTGGGTATGACAGGGTAAGAGAAAGGTGCCCCTGCATAAATGCTGGAGAGGAGTGGGGGATGAGGATTAGACGGAGAGCAGAAAGATGGTCTCTCAGAAAGATGGCCTCACTGTGGAAGATGCTGGGGTCAGGGGATCAGGAAATGGGGTACCTTTGGCCTCTGATTCCAGGGACGGGGTCCCAGCCTCTCGCTGCTCTCCAGAGTCCACAGACACACTCCGCTCCCTCTTCACTTTGCCCTTGAGTGAGCTGAAAGGGGGGACCCCTGTCTGGGGGTTCTTCAGACTTGAGTTGCTAGGTGAGATCTGGTTGGCCTTGGCCCCATGGTTCCCCGCCCCCACGCCCTTCGAGCCCAGGTTGCAGGTGGGTCCTTGGTTCACATTCTGGTGCTGGGATTGGGCCCCGCCATTCCCTGTCTTGCCATGATTGGTCAACTTATTTTCTGGGTGCATTGGCTTGGCTGGGGCAGGGGGGCAGTGGCCGCGGGGAGATAGCGGCGGGCTCCCTGGAGCTTCTCTCCTCCTGGGGTGGGGTAACCTGGGAGAAGGTGGAAGAGACATGAAAAGTTAATCTTGGTAGGGGTGTAGCATGCCTGGATTTTAATTGCCCCATCCTGCCTCACCTAATGGTATGGGAGGAAGGGGATGAGTGGCATCTTAAGACCACCAGCTATTCCCTACCTCCCACCATGGCTCCTCAGACAAGGGCTAATGCCCTTCACCACCTTGGGGAGTGAAGATGGGGCAACTGCCTCTACCCTCCAGACCCCACAATTCAAATGAAAACAAGGGCTTTGCGTTGGCAGAATATACCTGCTTGCTCAGCCCGAGCATCCATCAGACTGCAAACCTCCACGGCAACCCCCCTCCACTAGCACCTGACCAATACTTAAGCATCCTCTCTTCAAGGGCTTGCCTGTCTTCAGACTCCTTTCAAGGTCCCAAACCTCAACTTCCATGTGTCCCAATATCAGCAAGGAAGGGGCACAGGACCTGAGTGTCACTGCTCATGCCCCAGCCCCATTTCCTTGGGGAAGTGGGGAGAAGTACACCATAGAGTGGTACCCATTGGTCCAGACAGCTCCCCAGAGCAAGAGGGGAATGCCTGAAGAGGGTCCGCTGGCAGGCCTGGCGGGCAGGCAGGAGAAGGAGAAAAGGGGGAGGGGGCTGGTGTGTGGAGCAGACTAAAGCCAAGGATTCCTGCAGCCTAGGCTGCGGGCCCTTTAAGCTCCAGCCCGCTCCCCCCACCGCCTCCCCCTCCCCGGAGACCTATTAATAGCCGCTGGAAAGATCACATCACGGGAGAGGATATTTATCCCCCCTCATTCCACACCAGCTCAGATTTATTTCAGCTCTGCTGTCCTGCTGCTGCCGCCTGGCCCGGTCTGCCGGCTTCTCCTGGGGAAGGGGAGGGAAGCAGGCACCACCCCTCCCTCCAGCTCCCACCCCCAGCTAGACTGAGGCCAGAGGGCGCCATTGGACCCTACAGTGGGGTGGGTGGGGGTCTGCTCAAACCATTTTTAAAGGAAAGGGCTGGAAGGGACTAGAACAGCAGGCTTAGCTAGTTGCCATTCCTCTCTGTCCCCAGGGCCCAGGCACTAGAGCTGTGGGCTCCTGCCTCAGGGCAGGCCTTCCCATCCTGACCCCTCCTTTAGCGCACCAGCGGCCTGGAAGCCAGGTGCCCAGGGATGGGGGTCGCTCTCCAAGCCTGCACAGTTCGGCCCCGTCACCACTGGGCCCTTCCCTTCCCCTCACTCCACACACACATCCCGCCCTCCACGACACCCACACACCTTGTCTTGTTAGCCAGGATCCTCATGGCTCCCACACACAGTGGGGCTACGGCCCCTGTGCGTGCCCAGGGCCCAGCCAGGTACTCGGTACTGGAGCAGGGACTGCAGCAACAAGCCCCAAAGAGAAAACTTGTGACTTGGGGAGGGGGTGTGAGGAGGGGAGGGGAGACGGGGGGGACTCAACAGCCCTGGGATTAGGGAACTGGAGAGGGTAGGGTGGGAATGGCAAATTTCGACTACTAGTCGGGGTCTCGATCCTAGCGGCCGGTCCTATCCCCATCCCTCCCGCACCTTACCCTCAGGGAGCTTGCAGTCTCTAGCAAGCCACCCCCCCACCGCCCCAAGGCCACAGGGGCAGAATTCACTAAAAGGATGGGCTGCAAAGGTGCCCGCGTGGGGCGGCCGTGAGGCCTGTCAGGCCCCCGGGGGGACTCCAGCTCCCAGACACACCCCTCACCAGCGGGGGGCGGGGGACCCCTGGCGCCCCGCCCCCGGGCGCCCCGGCGGGGAGGGGGCCGGGGGTGGGGGCGATGCCCCGCCCCCAGCTCGAGGCCTAGCCCGTGCCCATCCCAGCAGGCCCGGGCGGGCAGCGGGAGGCCTGGCGGGGCCCCGGGGCTGCAGCTGGGCTCTTCTGGAGACCAGTAACGCTGGCTCAGATTCCTCCCCGACCGCAAGAATGCAGGAGCCTCCCCTCCCCCCGCCCCTGCACCCCACCCCGCCCCCTTCGGCAGAGCCTGAGCGGAGAGGCAGAGCGAGCGAGCGAGAGAGCCAACGAGCCAGCGAGCGGGAGACGGGCAGGGCTGCAGCGTGCCTCTCCCGGCCCCGCACGCGCCGCACGGACGGACCCAAGGCCAAGAGCGGCGAGGGGCCGGGCGCGCGCTGCGGCGGGGCCGAGGTTCGGCCCAGCGCTGGGCGCCGCCAGGCAGGGGCTGTGGGACCCAACAGCACCCGAACTCTGACTCACACACACTCGCAGCTCACACGTGGACGGGGAGACAAAGACACGCACGGAGCCCAGGAAACTAGAGGCGCGCACACGCTGGCTCGCGGACGTGTGCAGAAGGGCGAGGGAGGCGCTGGCCGAAGCAGGAGCACGAAAACAGCCTGGGGCACGTTTCCAGAGGCGGCCAGAGGGCAGAGAGGGAGCGCGCCGACTCATTGAACAGATGAAAAGACTGAGGCCTGGCCGCATGGGAGCCATAGAAAGTTGAGCCCGGTAGTCACAGAGAAACACACACACAGGGCCGTAGGTACACCAAAACAGACTTACACAAACACACAAGACTCTCCCAACCGCCCCCCCCCGTCCTGCCTCCCCGCCCCCTTGACCCATAAGGGGTGGGGGAGGGGAGGAGTCCTGGGCCTGGAGCTCCGTCCGGGTGACAGGCCCAGCCAGACTCCGGTGCACATTCCCTACTGGAGGCTGGGCTGGGATCTGGGCGGGAGTAGGGCAGGGAGGAGGACCCACCAGTGACCCTGTGGGAGCCTAACCCTAACTTAACCCCAGGGTACATTGGCCTTCCTTGCTCCAGCTCTGTCTCCGGGAAGGGAGGCTCCTCAGAGGAAGGTTCCAAAGTCCAGGGCCTGGCTGGGAAGCAGCCTGCTGCCTGCACCCATTGCCTGCCTCACCTGGAGGAGACCTGAGGCGGGGGAGAGCTAGAGGCAGCACCTGAATTAGGGGCAGGCCTATGGCAGACATGGGTCTCAGGCTTCCACCTTCACCACCTTACTGATCCTCAAAACTACCTCCCACCTGCAGCGGCAGTGTTACTATCCCCATTGACAATGAGGAAACTGAGATCTGAGAGAAGGAAGTGACATGCCCCTGGGTCACGTGACAATTACGTGGCAGCACCAAGACCCCATCCCCCTGGTGTTTCCCCTACACTGCAGTGTCATCCCCTTGGAGTCAGGACTGCTCACCTGAGCCCGCACCAGGCAGGTGGGCTTCCCCGCTGCCAGCTACTGGACCCAGCCCTCTGAGGAGGGGCAGGTCAAGGGCCACCCACTTTCCGTTTT